ACTTATACATGCATTATTATTTTCAGAAGACATTTAAGATTGATATGCCTACAATTCTCAACTGTTCAACCACAATCAGWATATAAAATTTCTGATGAAGGTAAGGTTTTGTATTTTTAATTAAATGTTTTATTCGTTAACATTTAGAACTTTAAGAATATAGAATTTTTTTATTTACTTATATTAATATGTATGTAGAATATGTGCGTAGAAGTTAAATAAAATATAAAATTTCAAAAAAAAAATCTGAAGATAATATTAACACAATTAACGTTTTTTACATTTAGATATAACAAGGCTAAAAAGAAAATTTTCTTCGCCACGTAATATTATTTCAAACTTTTATAATCAAGTTGAACGAACACAGAATATAAAGACTKGTTGTCATTTTGGTTTTAACAAGAACAAAAAAAATCAATGGACCTGCAAATTAAGTGTTCAATGGCCCAACCCCATTGTATTTTCAAGTRTGGCTACTACCAAAGCCAAAGCTGGAGAAATAGTGTCTTTAAATGCTATTCAGTGGTTACAAGTAAAATAATTATCAAAATGATTGGTATTTTTTTTTTTAGCAATTTTATGTTAAACAAGCATTTTGCTTGATAATTTATTAAAGTTGTAAATCTTAGTTATTCTTGACATTTATCTTGTATAAAAAAAATTCCATCATTTACTTGTAAGTTCTGAGTTTTTCCTTTTTCACAAAACACTAACCATTCTGAAGCTGATGTTCTCTGAAATTGTGATCATGATCTTAATAAATAAAAAATAACTAGGTACAAATATGTTTTCAGGATATGGAAAAACTTGATCATTCAGGAAAACCATTGATTGTATCAAACAAACAACGTATAGATGTGGCTTCATCACCAATTGCTTCAATAGATGTAAGCAAACAAAATGTTGAACTAATTTCAAACTTAGTGCAAAAATATAATCAGGTTAGCCATATTCTTATAAAAAATAATAATCAAATAAATATCAATAGTCTGTTCCACTAGAGAACACGTCTTAAAACTAAAATTGGTTTTTCTGCTCATCCCTATGTTATATTCCGCTACCGGTTTTGATAGCAGGGTGACTTAAGAAAATGTGTAAAACTGACGTGTTCTCTTGTTGAATGTAGAATAAAAATGTTGGTTGTTTATWACACATTAAAGAATATACTTCATTACCATAGGAAATTAAACCATTAATAAATAAAGGAAAAYCAGTATTATTTGAAGATGACCAAACTAATRAGGGTAAATTATAGTAACTAATTATACCCATTTCATCAATAATGTAATAATATGTTTTAATTTTAGATGAGTTAAATTTTAAATTACCTTCATTTTCACATTTTGACTATGTCAATCGAAACGAATACCTCTATAAAAATTCTACACAAACATTGAACAAATCAGTCCAATTACCTATAGACAAATATGCGTATGTTTAGTATGAATATAATTTATAATCTTAAATGATTTACACTAAATTATGTTTTTAAAATTTTAGATTAGATATACTTAATGTGATTGAAAATAATCAAGTTACCATTATAAAAGGAGAACCAGGTTGTGGTAAAAGTACTAGAGTGCCTAATTTCATTTTGAGAAAATATAGTCAAGAAAGAAAAGGAAGCGAATGCAACATATATGTTACTCAGCCAAGACGAATAAGTGCACTAACTCTTGCTAATCGAGTTGCTGAGGAACGTTCAGAAGAAGTATAAATTAAAAAATAAAATAAAATTTGCTTATAATGTTAATTAGATTGATGAATAATTTTACCTAATTCTCTAGTTGGGGAATGTGGTTGGTTTTCAAGTACGGTTAAAACAAATATTGCCCAGAAAACCAGGATCTATAGTATTTGCATCTAGTGGCATATTGCTTCAGAAACTACAATCAGACCCTGGACTTAAAGAATTTTCACACGTTATTATTGATGAAGCCCATGAACAGGATATAAACACAGAACTATTGCTGATGCTTACAAAAAATGCTTTACAGTTAAATAATAAATTAAAATTGATTATAATGAGTGCAACGTTAAATGCCGAACACTTCCAAAACTATTATGGTCACTCAGCTTCAACCATTGAAATACCAGGTTTCACACATCCTGTGAAAACTCATTTCTTATCGGTAAATTATAAATGCTAATGGGTTTGATATTTGGTGTTGAAATAAATATTTATTATTTAATGTTTAATTCTAGAATCAATTGGCTAAGGAATGGGGTATATATGATACAACTGTCGAAGAAAATGGTAAACCTTATTGGAATCCACAACTCATTGCAAATGTAATAAAATGGATACATAACAATAAATCACCTGGAGCTATACTGTGTTTTGTATCTGGTTGGCAAGACATAATTGATGTAATATAACATTTTGCTTGCTGTGTTTAATTATCTGATCACCTTATCATATTAAATTTTTGTTTGACTGTTAGGTGAATAAACTGCTACAAAAAAGGCCTCATAATTTTGATATTATGTTTGCCCATTCTAAATTGACACCTGAAAAACAAATAGAAATCATGAACCCTGCTAGTAATGGAAGACGAAAAGTTGTACTAGCTACAAATATTGCTGAAACSAGTATTACAATTAATGATGTAGTATATGTAGTTGACACTGGTATGCAAAATATATCTAGGTAAGGATTTAAATTATTGCTAATTAGTAATTAATAATTATAAATAGTTCATTTTGGGGGTGTAGTGCCCGGGCGGATTAAGGCGTCGGTTGTGACGTGCACCGTCGTCGGTTTGAATTCCCGTTTTGGGCAGCATCGCTTTCCAGACAGTTCACGCTGTCTAGAAAGAGAGGTTGCCCCCCTCCCCCCACTCKGACATGGCAGAAACCTATGAATGCCCATTCGAAATTCTGCCAAACATCCAAGTGTTCTAACCAACAGTTCCACAGCTAATGACTTTTGCTGTCAATGCCTCAACCCCAATTTAAAAAAAAAAAAATAGTTTATGACTAAAGTATTTTGTTTAGTGTTGGTTGTACCCAAAATACATCATTTAGATTATTATACAGATGTATACCCACAGTTTAAATTTTTTTTTTTTAATTGTTAGATATTATATTTACATTTTTTATTAATATAATATATTTCAACAATTCTTAGAATTTGCATTTATATATCATTGAAATGAATTACATAGAATCTCTATTTGTTAAAAAATAACTAACTACCAATGTATTTAGTTATCCATTGTTATTTATATATAATTCTAAAATATTTATATTGTTTGTACTCCAACTAATAAATACAATCTTATATCTAATAATCCGTGCTACAAAAACTGGGCGGTTCTAACGATCATTTCCTATCAGTGGTCCTCATACGTCATACATGTACAAATAATTACCTTGTTTTTTTAAGTTAATTTATTAATTTGGTATATTGTATCAATTTATTATTATACAAATTATGAGAGTAAAATGGTTTAAAATTAATCAATATGAAAAATTATTTAAATACGTATATTTTGTATATAATATCGCAGCCGTGTGATGAAACTTGAGAACCTATGGCTAACCACTGATATATGGAGGGCAGGTGACGGGGTTCACTGGCCAGTTTTTGTTTTACGCTGACTATAGTTATTGAAACTATATTTATTTTAATTTAAAGTACTTAAAAGTTTATATATTAATAATAATTTTATAGTTGGAACGCAGAGAAAGGTATTAAATTATTAGATCGTTGTTGGGTCTCTCAGGCTAATGCAAAACAAAGGAGAGGCCGTGCAGGAAGAACTCAACCCGGAGAATGTTATCATTTATACACATTGGATCGATTCAATAACTGCTCAGAGTATCCTACACCAGAGATTCAATTAACTCCTCTTGAACATACTATTATTAATCTCAAGGTAATTATAACCTTGCCATTTTATCCTGTATCATGTTATGCAAAATATCTAATAATTGTTAATATTATCTAGATACATAGCCAGGATAAAGCAAAGGTTGTATTATCAAAGCTTTTGAATTCACCTAGTATAGAAACCATAGATATTGCCGTTTCAGAATTACAACTTCTTGGGGCATTAGACAATGAAGAGAAACTAACAGCATTAGGAAAACGAATAGCTGCATTCCCATTTGATCCATGTCTTTCAAAAGCTTTAGTTAATTCTGTATTTTTAAAGTAAGCAGTAGTTTTTCATTGAGTTATATTCTGTGATAGTTTGGGGGTTTTATTAAATTTCTATTACAATTAATTTATTTATTTTAGATGTCTAGACTCTACACTAACAATCATAACYTACTTATCAAGTAATGTGAATATATTTAAAGAAACAACTGCAGCTGATTCACGAATAATAAAAAAGAACTATTCCTCGTGTAGTGATCACCTAGCTGTGGCAAAAATATTTTCTGAATGGAACAGTACAAATAA